GTTGATACCTAAATTTAAAAATTAATTATATATTATAATAAAATCACTTTCTAAATTTAAAATATTAATATTTAAAAAGATAAACTTTTAAATTTTAAATTGAGTTTTAATTAGATAAAATAAGATACTTGATTTAGATTTAGAACTTGAATTTATTTTAAAAATTAAAACTGATATGCACTTTTTTTCTTATTATATTTATTTAATATCATATATCATGTAATTATAAATTTATCATTTTAAGTAATATTATTTTTTTATTAAACTTTTAAAATTTAAAAGTTATATTAGTCTCAACGAATATAAAATTAAATTACAATGAATTACATAAAAAAATTTTAATGTTATTACTGTATGTATTAAATTTAAATTTAAGATTTTATTTAAATAATATTTTCACCCAAATATGTGATTTTATTTTATTTAGACTTTATTTAATACAAAAAATAAATGATCAAATAAGTAAAAAATCCTACTTAGATATTAAATCCCTTGCTATGTAAGCATGACATGGCAATATTTTGTCATCCAAGCAGCCAAGCATAAACGGCAGTTAAGTCATGCCAGCAAGTCCAAACGGCAGTTAAGTTGGCGTAAGAAGAAGGGCTTAATTGCTTTGATAGCAAAGTTCAAGGGTTCATATGCATCAATTAAAATCTAGGGGCTTAATAGCGATTCTGGGGTTAGTTCAGGGGCTTAACTTATGGTTTTACCTTTTAACAAAAAAACCAATACAGTGTAAGCTTAGTGCCATTTCACCTGAAATTAATATCAAGTTGGCATGTAAAGTGACATTAAATAACGTCATAGAACTTGAGATTCATATGAACTGCATGTGAGGGAGAGTAAGAAATATATGAACTAAATATAATAAGGGTTATTTAATCTATTATCAATTAATTTTATGTTAGATATGTCTTATATTAAACCCATGTATATAATTCTCACACTCCAATTTGATCGAGCAAATAACTTGGCCTTGTATGCTGTGAAAATGTGAATTCAAAAAAGAGAAAGGAGAAATCGAAGGGCAGTGAAATGTAGAAAATGTAAAGAAAGCCCGAAGATCAAATTCAGACTCATCACTAGGCAATGAGAAGTTCCGAGCATTATAAATTCAAAGGGAGAAGAACGATGTTTGATGGTTGATGCTCTGATAGTCTGATGGGGAGTTGAGATTGATTTTCTTGGCTGACTATATATTTGTGTGGTTGAGATTTATTAGGCAAAAGATAAAATATAAAATAAAAACATAATAATTCGGTGATAAATATATTTTTTTTAGGAGGGAGATAAATATATAAAAATATTATAATTATAATGTCATTAATATTATAAATTTATAATATAATATATTATTATATAATTAATTTTTTATTAAAAAATTTATTATATTATATTATATTTATTTAATATCACGTCATAATTATAAATTTATAATCATATATAATATTATAATTAAATATTACTAGATAAATATACCATACAATATGTACTGAGTTTATATAAGGAATATATTTTTTATTAATGATTAAATTTATCAAATTATGTAATATTTAATTTTAATATTATTTTTATGCCTATTAAATATAATTGTATAAATCACTTAGTGAAATGTATTTATTTATAATGACTAATTCAAAACGGTACAAGATAATTTTTTGACATTCTACGTGTACCATTTTAGTAAAAAAAAATGGCATACAGACCGACACAAGATTCATAACCTAAAATTGTCCGCAGAACATTTTATGTTTATAGGATAAACACAATGGAGAGCTGGAGTCGAATTCTAGACCCTCAGCGGCATTCACCCCTTTTGAGACGGGGTGCTGCCCCTTGACCCATCACCTGGAGGACCAGTCTTTGGTATTTATTAGTTATACCGATTACTGATTCTAGAAGGAGGCCCATTACTGCTTCTGTAGGTATGGGCCTCTTGTTGCCCGGCCCATGTCTTTACCAAACTTTTTTTTTGTCAATTTTTTTTTATCATATTCACATTTTAATTAGTTTTTTGTTTTAATTTTAGGCACATAAATACCCAATTATAACAGAAATCTTAATTTCATTTTTCCTCTCTAAAATCTAAACTATGCCATCTGCTCTCATCTCTATGATAGGCTTCTCTTAGGGCCTATTTAGTTTGATGAAAATTGGAAAGGAGGGCAAAGGACTTTGATGGCAAAACTTGTACTTTGGCAAGGCTTATATCAGAGTTTTTGTATCAAGTAATGGCCCTTTGCTTTTTGCAAGACTTATAAACATTTTTGTTGTTAAAAATCTTCATTTTCCTCCAAAATTTTTTTAAACTTGATAACTTATTTTGTTTAAGAGGAGGAGAGGAAAAATTATTATAATTAATTAAATTATTTCGCTACTCAATAATTTAATTTAATTAGTTGAAAAAAGAACACCTCATCTTTCCTTTCCTTTCCTTTCTTTCATTTTGTTGAAATCAAACATATTATAAGAGATACTTTTTCCATTCATTTTTAATAAATCTATTTTGACTTTTTGACTTTTAAGACATAAATTTTAAATGAAAATTCAACCATTTATATAAATAATAATTAAAATTTTTTTGATTAAATAAAAATATTTAACAAAAACTATACATATGGACAAAAAAATTCAATTATTACTCATAAATTGTTAAATTCTTATTTAAAATTTATATCTTAGAAATTAAAAAAATAAATTAAATCTATTTAAAATAAATGGAGAGCGTAAAATAGTAATTAAAGCAAAACTCAAAAAAAGCCCGCCAAAGTGCCAAGAAAAACACCAGAACAGAATGCGATGGAGTAGAAAGTAGGGGTAGACCTTAGAAGGCCAACCCCGGGCCTAAAAGGAATTAGAATTAGTGGGCCTAGTTAGGGATGAAAGAATGAATTAGAGAAAAGGACCCTACTTGAACATTATAAAAATTACAAAAAAAAAAAAAAAAACAAAACAAAAAACCTCCCGGGTCCATCATCCTGGTGGGCCTTTCCGTCACCATCATAGCAAGCCCATGTGTATTCGGACTTTCCACCTTCAGTTGCTCAATGTGAAATGAATTTTTTTTTTCAAATACTATAAATTGAATTTTAAATCTATAACTAACATACATGTAGATCTATTACTAACTTACATAATTATTGGTATGAATTATATTTTTTTAATGGGTCAAGACTCAAGTCACTAATTTAGTTTCTTTTTTTTTTTTTAAAAGGACTAAGTTACTAAAGAATAGTAGAGTACCCAATAATATAGAATTTTATAAATTTTGTAAAATCTGAAGTATATTCCCTGAAAGCAAAAAAAATGAAATAGAAAATTTTTAATTAATATATAAAAGCAATTTTTACCTAGTCATATGTCTAAACGGCATTGCTCTAGTGCCAACTCCAACAACCTAATTGAGCATGTTCAGGTACACACTCGAATAATTTATTAGAATATGTTTAATTCAAGAAAAATAAAAAAACGAGATATTTGTCTCCTTTCCTTCTTCTCATTTGAATTAAGTCAAAAGAATTGAAGAATTAAAAGCAAAAATACAAAAGTTTGCCTCCTCGTCTCTCCTCTTTTTTTAATAACTAAATCAAAAAATGATCACTACTCCACTTAAACTAAACATAATACTTAATCATATAATAATGTTGAGAAAGTAATTTTTTTAAATGGGAACTTTGGGACATCTAGATTTAGTCCTAGTCTTGATTTAAGAATTTTTTCCTAAACTTTATTAAAGAAATAAATAGTGTTCTCGTTCTTCTCCTATTCAAGAGAGAAAAAAAAAAAAAAAAAAGAAAAGAAAAAAATGCATAGCAGAGCATCAACATATCATATTTCCAATAAGAAGATGCTCCCATCAGCACTAAAAATCTAACATTCGATTACACCGAATAAACAGAAGGAAAACATATACGAACTCCAGTTTTGTGGGCTATATGGACGCAGGGGCCAGGGGCAATGAAATTGTTCCAATTAAGGAAGTACAAAGACATTGCTCACCACTATGTGGCCTCCGTGGCCACGCTTCTCCTTGAGAAGCAAAGTGGGGGCACCCCTAGAGACATGCGTAGTTCAAGTCTCAGGTTTGATACTTCTCCATTCTCTTAAGAACAGATACTAACTATACTAATGCAATTCCCACTGTTAAAAAAAAAAAAAAAGGGAGTACGAAGACATTCCAAACCATTATTCAGATGTAAAAAGGGAGGAATTCAAGGATACCACAATCCAGAGGTTGCATCAGCGCCCAGGGACGGAGGCAGAAATTTTTTTCAAGGAGGGCAAAATACTAAAATTTTCAAAGTTCAGGGGAGGCTAGAAAATTTCTTACATACCAATTTGCAAGATTTTCAAATTTCAGGGGGGGCGAGCGCCCCCGCCCCCCCTCGCACCCCCCTGGCTCTGCCACTGTCAGCGCCCATTCCTGAGTTGTCAGCCTCTGCAGCTTTATTCTCTTGATTAGCAATATTGTCCTCCTGGTCCACATTGTTAGTTCCGGTACTTGCAGTCTGAAGTGGAGGACTATTGGCACCTAAGCTGACAACATCAGGATCTCCTAGAGGGCCAAAGCCGATGACCTCACCTCCCATATTGACAGTCTGGTTGAACTGATTCGAAACAAAGGGGCCCGGCACAACCTCCGATACATCGAATAGGATGCAAAATGTGTCATCAATATTGGTATGTTCCTGACCTATTGAAGTCAGACCCCCGTTGAGCTGGTGAAGAAGAGGAGGACAGTGCTTAATGGTGTCCAAGAGAGGCAGGTTAAGAAACTCAGGACCAGCATCCATGGACTCCAGCGATTTCTTCATTAAATTCCGGTCAAGGAATACAGCAGCCAGGTTCTGCCTAAATACATCCTTGGAAACAATCTCATCCCTCTTTGCCAGTTGAGCCTGAAGTTTGCTAACCTCCTCCTGCAGCTCCTCTACTTGTTTTTTCAGGTCGTCTGCTTCTTTCTTCTTTTCATTGAATTTAGGGTTCGCATCAATAGAAGCAGCTGCTAAAACTTCTTGTTCCTGCTTTCTTCTTTCAGCATCTTTGACTTGGAGCTTCTCATATTGCTTCGCCAGATAAATTGCATGAAAGAAAGAGGACCCCAGAAGCTGGAAAAGAAAGAGAAGAAAATCACTGTTTTTTTTAAAAAAAGGTTGGAGATAATAGAGATTAATTGAGGAAGAAATTTTGACTAAAAAAAAATAATAATAATTTGAACTTTTGAAGAAGAAAAAGGCCTTGATTATAGTTTGCTGACCAGCTTCACAAAATCGTCCATAATTGCATGGGCTCCATTGTTAACCCCCGGCACAGGCTCACCAGTTAACTTCCTTAACCTCTCCTCCCACTTAGATGCCAGTGCTGAGGTAGAGAAAAGATTTGCAGCAGCCGACTGAGGGAAAGTCTGGCAGCAAGCATCAGCCATAAACCCACTAGGTTGAGAACCATCAATTGGAGGATGAAGTGGAGTGTAATTGTCAGCAGTTGCAGGCCTTTTGCCCCTACGAGCTTCATCTAGTTCTTCCTCTCTCTTCCTCTTTAATTCCCGTCCTTGCTCAAATGGGGTGCCTAACTTCGGCCCTATTCCAGTCAAATTCAAAACAAGAGAGTTAGCCTAATGTATAGCAACGATTAAGGCAGCTACCCAGCCCTGGCCCTGGCCCTGGCCCAGTCAAATAATTAACTAACCACCGTGACCTCCAGCGCTACTAGAATTGGCGACAACATCAGTTATCGAAGTAGTGCTAGACTGCCCTTCTCCACCAGAATTTGAGTCAATATTTGAGGGTCCAGCTGCAAGTTAAAGAAGAAGTTCAAAAAATATTCCATAATTAGAATGTAAAAAATAAAACATAATGCAGCAAATTATCTATACCCTTTAAGTTTGCTTCCAACATTCCACGGTTCTGCAAGTTAAGAAACATGTTAAAACAGTAAGTCCATAATACCACCCTGTTTGGTTTGAGAGAAACAGAGGGAACTCCCTTTCCCTCCCCTCCCCTCCTGTCAAACCAAACTAGCTGTAAAGGATAAGTGAATATATCCTAACACTCAAAAAATTAGAATCCAAAAACTCAAAACTATGATAGTCACCCTTTACATTAAGTATTTATTGAAACCACCTAGAACTGGGATTTTGGATTCTTAATTTTTTCAGAGTTAGGAAATTTTAAAAGGTAATGCAACAAAGTATCTGTACCTCCTCAACAGCTGCTGCCTCGTCCTGTAAGTTAAGGAAAAAGTTAAAACAGTAATGACATGATTAGAATAGCAACATTATTAAAAGATAGTGTACATTTTTTTTAGTATACTGAGTTAGTAGCTACTTGGTATAAGAGTCTGTATGCCTCACAGTAACCCCTAAATCAAGTTTTTTATGTTAGTGGGTATCAATTAATCAAACTGATCAACCAGAAGCACTTCAATTAAAAGATTAAAAGATGAGGCAGGAAAATTTCTATACCTCAGAATAATATTGTATAAGTAGTTGAAGTCCCTGCAAGATAAGAAAAAACAGTAATTTCATAATTAGGATGTCAACATTTTTAAACATATAATGCAGCAAAATATCGCCTACCTCCTCATATGGTATGTTTGCTCCAAAATCCTGGAATTAAGAGAGAGAGAGAGAGAGAGAGTTGAAAAGATTCAGATAATTAAAGGGCAATAGAACATGAAATCAGAGCACATTTGTGGTAGGGCTGTGATGCACTAATAAATGTATATCAAAACCTAAAATGAAAAGATGCATGCATGGCTATGGTTGGAAGGAAGTAGGGCACAGATAATCGAACCGAAAAAACTTCAGCAGCAAGCTTGTCGAATTCGTCATTGAACTCTCTTGTTTGCTCTTCCGTACCCTTCATTTGATGAATGAAAAACAAAGATCAAAAAGTAAATCATGCATGGGAAATGATTGAAAGTGTTTATTTGCATTTATTTGTAAATTGCTATATATTCTCTCATCCATCCATCTCCTGTTAGTTTTGAGAAATATCATCAAACCTTTGAACTTTCTTCAGTTCTTTTCTTGCACTTTTCACGAAAGTTTTGGTACACTTCTGTCAGTCCATTTTCCTCACAAAAGTCCTTGAACACTTTTTCCTCTTGTCGAAGCCTACTGAATTCACACTGCATTTACAATTAAAACAGAATAAATAATATTTTTCCTTTTAATTTGGGCAGACTACAAATATAATTCAGGTAATGATATTCAATCATTAATATGAAATCATTTTCTTTTCCAAGAAATGAACTATTACATATAAACTCATCCATTACAACCCACATAAACAGAAACTAAATGGTAGAACCTATAGAAAATCCTCAAAATAACATACAAGAAAACTGCACGCATAACAAAACATAGAACAGCTGCTGGATGGAGACCAATTAAGTCTGCTGCAGCCCTGGAGAGTGATTAGAGGAAGGTGGAAACTCAGCTGCAAGCTGAGGGCTGAATGGACATATTGGAGATTATGGATGGATTACTGCACCATGGTGCTAATCCACATCAATCCTTCCTTCAACTAAGGTAGACAAAGCAAAAAGACTTGAAAGAAAGGCATATAAAGAAGAAACAGGGAGTTTAAAACTCCAGCAATATAAATAGAACACCAACCACATATTTTGTATACACATACTCAGGTCATAAACTAAAACAATAGAAAAATCATACTAGCTACCTACATACATACCATCCCCAAAGAAGTTCCCACACCACTTCTTTTATGGTCATCATGAGCATCAAAGACCAACTTAAGAGAAATTGAATGTAAGATGAATGACATGTATTTTAGGCTACAAACAGAACATTCTATTCTTGTTCTTGTGCTTGAATGTAATTAAGATGAATGACATCCATGCATAAATTTATGTGCTAGCTTCTAATAATGATTTATGTCATAAACAGATTAGAGGTGAGTGTTATGTTTTGGTTTAACATTTTATGCATGTTAATTATTTAATTATATACTTAACCCTGTATATATATAAGCCTGCAATTGCCTTAGAACTATGGAAGTTTAGAGACTAGCTAACCCTATGGTTTGGGAATAGTTAACCCCTCAGGGGTGTCCAATAATGAATCTCCAATAATGAATCTCTAATGAGAATAGTAGTGAACCTCGGTGTGCAGTAGGGATGTACCGAGATTAGCTTCATTACTAGAGTGTGAGTGCATGGACACTAGTGGACAGTGGACTCCCTGGCCATTTAGTTTATGCTTATTGATTGTTTTTGGTGTTTATGTTAGTTCTATTTTTGTTCAAGTCTCATTTATATTGAGACTAGCTAATTATGAAAGGCATGAAAATTAACCTATTTTGTTTATGTACACCATGTCAGTTTATGCCTAATTTTGTTATGAAATGCTAGTTCTAATTGTTGTGACTTGGTCTGTAGCATGCTAATTATCTAAATTATGTGCAGGCAAAATCTGTCATCAGCTAGTCTTCTAAATTCAGTAGCTTACTTTTAGCTTATGTCTTAAAATTGACTAATAACCATATGGCTCAGTTATAGCTTAAAGCCATAATCTATATATATTCTTACTGGGCTTTCTCAAGTTCACCCTAGTGTATTTCATCTTATTTCAGACTGGCTAAAGAGGTGTGTCGAGTGTAGCTGACATCCTAGCTACTACTCCAGAGAGTCTCCTATATGTCAGTTGTGAGCATTTACTTGGTAACACATGCAAACCTGTATATTTACCAAAAAACAAGAATTTGGCTCCATTATTTAATAAGCCTTTTGTATCTAAGCTTTACTAAGTCTGTTTGTAAACACTTTACACTCATCTACTTTCAGCTACATGTAGTCTTTGGTTAAACCTTATGTATGTTAATATTTGATGCTGAAACTTAGCTATTTCAGTCATGTACAAGCTTACCCATACTTTTTTCTCTCTCTCTCTCTCTCCCTCCCTCCCTCTCTCTCTTTTCCTTTATTTTTTAATGAGAAATATAGATGTCTATTATTAATAGAAAAAGAGATTACATATGAAATCCTTCATAAAGGCACCTAAAGTCATATTAAAGCTATAACCCATAGCTCTAAATATAAATGAAAACTATGTCCATAATGAATAAGAACACTTAAATGCAGAGAGCCACATATACCTAGATATTGCTTGGCAATCACTATAATGACATGCAGTGCTACAAAGGAAGAAAGAAAGTTATTGTGCACATGGCAAGTTGCTAAACTTTCTCAACTGCCACATCAAGCTTCAGGGAGAGCAAGGATTACAGCAATTAACAGTCCCCAATCCACTAACTGTCATAGTCCAAAGAAAACTATCCTTTGGGAGATTCATGACCTCCTTCCCAACAAACTAAAGCTACTCCTGAATTGTCTACTAGTACTTTAGTAGCTCTGTCTGTGTCCAAGCTGTCCATCAGGCTCTTTCATTTTGCCTCTCACTCCCTTCGTCTTACTTGACAAATTTTCCAAGTTTCTAGGCACTCTTTTCCATTTACCATGTAAAGAATGGTTTTCTCTTTTAAGAACAAATTATATACGTATATTTCAAGCTATATGTGATTCCAAACTCATGCTTTAGTTAAACTAATGTACCAATTTTGCTATATACAAGAGCTACCCTCTAGTGTTAACCAAGTCTTTGCAGGGTCAATTTCAAAATCTTCACCCTTACCTAAATCCATTTTAAATGAATGCATATATGCTCAGGTTTTGTTAGTCACAACTCATAAAGAATACTATATAATTAAGTGTGGGAAATGACACCTTTTAGCCAAACTAGCATCACAAAACATTCCTTTCCCCAACAGACTAATAATAATTCATCAAATAATAGAGAATTTATTTCCCTTATCAATTTCCACAATCTTCCCACAGTTAAAATGCATTCAAATTCCTGTAAGAGTTACTGTAATTGATAGATAAAAAACATTCAAAGCAATTCTCATAATTAAGCAGATAAGTATGTTCAAATATCATCTCCTAATATGCTCTCCATAAGTACTCTCTATCCATTGAAGACTTATATACAAAGAACTGGGCATTAATATATATCTCCCACTCAAAACAATATCACAGTAAAAGAGTATCTCCAAAAAATTTTTTAAGAGAGAATTAAGGCTCAACTCAGATAAATTCTTCTCCACACATCTTGGACATTAATTCTTATTCACCACCCTACAATACATATGAAAACAACAGTACATTAATTTATTTACCTTCTTATATGCCCGAATTGCTTTGCTCTTTTCATTTTTCTCCTTTTTCTTTATCATCTTTTCTTCTTGAGACAGTGGCGGACGCCCTGGTCCTCCTTTGTTTCCTGCTTCATCCGCTCCAGTTATTTTCTTCTTTCCTTTGCCTGCCATTCTTCCTTGCGACAGAGACAATGTATGGAAACTACTAATTAGAGTTAGCTGATTTCATTAAACAAGTAATACTTAAGCAGATCCAAACCCTTCCTTTGCTGATAAATAGAAAATTAAGAAGAGTTCAATATTCAACCAACAAACTACCCAACAAAACAAGACAGTAGAAAATCGAAGAATAATTGAAGAAATGACAGGAAAAACGATGAAAACAATAAATTAAGCATGTGTATATTCAAATAATGATGATGAAAAGATTGATAGTTTACACAGCTAAATCTTCACCACGATATATATGAAAAGATGGACAAATGAAAAGGATTCGCTGTGGCGCAGACCTAACGGAACTGAGCCGGTCGGATAGGATCGTTCGATCTGAATGAGAAAATTTCCATCTAACTGCTTGACGAATTTTATAGCAGAAACGTCTTGGCGAGGTAATTTCTTGATTGCTTTTAATTAATTAATTAATAGTTAATAATTATAATTATTAATTATTTTTATTTATTAAATTTAATAAAATTACTATTTTTTTATTAATATTTCTGTATTCAATACCCTTATTTTTTTTTATTTATGAGATTTAAACTTAATATTTTATTTAAAAATAAACAAACTAAATTACTTCCACTCATATTTGCAAATTCATTGAATTATAAAATTAGTATTTTTAACGAAGAGAGTTTTTTACAATTTATGTCACTATAACATTAGTATAGATGACCATAGTTATATCTCTTTGGTGCAATAGGTGGACAGTGCTTTTGAAGTCCACGCTGCATCGAACACCGTTATTTCTGAAATTGCCTTAGCTGACCTTCACCCTGCGAAAATTCCAGAAGCAAGAAATCCTTGCTTTTACGCGTGATTCTACCTTCCTTTTAATAAAATTACCCGTTATGCCTATTTTACCCTCGCATTTTAACAAAATTACGATTAAACAACTATATACACCGTGCCCAAAATACTACCGATCGGTGTACACTACCGATTGCTATTTTTTTTTTTGAAATGCATACCGATTGCTGTTGTATACCCATCTTCCATCTGCCGCACTTCTCCCCAGATCCCGCTCTGAACTTTTCCAACATCCTCGTCTGTCGATTGCTCCTCTCTAGCCATCTTCTTCATCTACTGATTGCTACATCTTTTTCACCTTTTTCTGATTTTGCATCTCCCTTTCCCAATTGCTCACTCTATCCATCTTCCATCTGCCGCACTTCTTGCCAGATCCCGATCTGAACTTTTCCAACATCCTCATCTGTCGATTGCTCCTCTCTAGCCATCTTCTTCATCTACTGATTGCTACATCTTTTTCACCTTTTTCTGATTTTGCATCTCCCTTTGCCGATTGCTTACTCTATCCATCTTCCATCTGCCGCACTTCTCACCAGATCCCGTTCTTCACTTTTCTGGCATCCTCATCCTCCTCATCCCAGATCCAGCGGAGTGGCCTCCAATCTTCAACAGGCAAGCTCCCTTTTCTCAGACTTCATAGATTGTGGGTTTATTAATGTTTCTTTTTTCCCCCTTTTTGATATCTAGAAAGCATGGGTTTTGCTTCATTTTCATTGATGTGTTGGATTTCAGCTTTGTTAAACATAGATTTTGAGATAATTAGGATTAAATTCATCAATTTCCATGTCGATTTCTTGGTTTCGTTCCTGTTCATCAATCTGCATGCCATCTTCTCTGCTTTTTGTTTTTCAAGCTTAAATGGCTGAATTATTCTTGCAAAAAACTAGGAAACTATAAGGGGCGAAAACAAAGAAAAAAGAAAAGAGGAATGATTACTGTCCATAATCATGTTCCTTTTTCTTCATTATTCTAGTAATAAAATGTTTTATTTGTTTAAATGGGATTAAAGTGTTAAGGTGAAAATTTTAAATTGTGGATGATAATTACAAAGTAGCCAGTTCTATTTTAGATGTCACATTATTAAGTTCCTCTAGAAAATTTGTGTTCTGTGGAATTTAAGAGGAGTTGGAAAGAGTCAGATAAAGAGTGATGTAATTAATGTATTAAATACTACCAAAAACAAAAGATGGTTGGAAGGAAGTACCCATAAAGGTTCAGAAACCATCTCCAATTCTTCACAGTATTTGCTTTGTTCCTCCACCTTGACATGCATTAAAACAAAGATTAGCTAAATAATAAATCAAGGCAAAAGGAAGTAAAAATGTATTGTTCAATCTTT